GGCGCGGTGGCCGACGCGCTGGCCCTACCCTCGTGCTACGCGCGCCGCACGCGCCCTGCTCATCCATAATCGCAGCGCCGATCTTGCCCCGCCCCTTCTCGCTCTCTTGCTCGCGCCTGGCGCACCAGGCGGAGCCACCATGGCCGCCGCCATGAGCTCCCGAGCCGAGCTCGTTGCCGGCTGCCGCAGCCTTCTTCGTCCCAACCGAAGCGCGTCATCACCATCTCCAGCTAGAGCCGCCACTCCTGCGCCCTTTCACAGCCACCATGGTCGCGGAGTGCCCTGCAGCCGGTGGAGGCTGCGGGCATAGCCGCCGGCGCCGTGGCCCGGGCCACCACGAGCCGCCTCGTGCCAAGAAGAGTTGTCCCATGGATGCTTGCGCGAGGCCCTGGTACTCCGCCGCTGCCCCATCACCGCCGACGAGCCTCCTCCGGCCGAAAAGCAATGAGCTCCGCGCGCCTCTCTCTGCTGCAATCCACGTCAGGGACTTGGCGTAAGAATTTGAAGAAAGGAGGGACCTAACTGCATAGTCTGTGACTCATGTGAATAGTGCCGTAAGGACTGGTTTATAATTATTTTGCAGGAACTTTAGAAATTCATAGTAAATCGTAGAAAATTCGTAAAATAGTAAATGAGGACTTTTTGGAATCCTTGTGAAATTCTCTATGCACTAGATCTATAATATGTCAGGTTTTAGTTTAAATTTTTAGCTGTAAAAATGGATTTGTGCAGTTAGGGTTTGAATGCTAGTCTTATTTGTTTTTTTTATAACTGCAGATGTTGTGCTCAAATAATTGTGAAATTTTTGTGGAGTGCTACTAAGGTTATTCTTGATGTCTGGTAAAAATTTCAATATTTTAGGCTTGATAGTTTACGAGTTATAAAAATAACAAATGCCCTGTTTTGATTTGCTCCTATTCTGAATAGGACTGCATGTTTGAATTAATTGGCTTAGTTAAGTTATGAATCATGACTTTATGAAAATACATGAGTTGTAGTACTTTTATTAAGCTTTTCAAAAAGCTAAATATCATGATTTTTGGTTAAGTAGATCTTGAGTTATACTTGCTTAGATCTCTGTGGCTGTTTCTGCCCAAAACCAGAGAGGGTTTCCTTGTTCTTACTGTGGGGCCTTCTTACTAGTAGAATTAGCTTTAGGTGTTTATAACAAAGTTGTTTAGAATTTGACAAGCTTTCTAAAAAGTCTAGAACCACATTTATTGTACATATATAACTCCATTTATAGCTGTTTAAAGTGGTATGTCAGTTTCTATCTATGTTTTGGACAGAGATGCAATTATTGGATTAATTGACCCTTCTAGCTGTAGAATCATCTTAATATGAGAATAAGAAAGTTGTAGGTAACTTCCTAAGGTTTTCAAAAGTTATGGTTCATGTATGTTGGAGGTCTAGAACTCCAGTTATGCTTCTCTAAAGATGCTATCAATTTCCTATACCACTGCTGTTGGGCTGGATTTGCAGTTTTGCTTGTGCAATTATTTTCGTGGTGTAAATGATGTTTGCTATGGTTGTAGTGAATACAAAAGTTGTAGAAAATTTCATGATCTTGCTTGAGTTCGAATTGTAAGGTCATAGGGCAGATAGTGTAGGAGTTACATGACTTTTAAGTCTTCTATCAGGTTTTGATTTTATTCTGAGCAGATCTGAATGATGCTAGTGTTTGATCTAGTTAGGATTTGAATGAGTTTTTGGTGATAATAACAAAGTTGTAGATAATTCATGTATATAGCTCCTGTTAAAATTTGGTGGTATTTGGCTTTGTGGTTTGTGAGTTATGCCTGTTTAAAGTTGGGTTTCAGAAATGGCTGCTCTCTGTTTTGTTTAGACCAGTTTCTATAAATAGGTATATTTGACTTAGTTAACTTGAGAATCATGCTAAGATGATTAAATATGAATTGTCACAAATTTCATAAGCTTTCCAAAATGTCTTCTTGCAAGTCATTTGGATTTGTGTAACTCCAGTTATAGCTAAATCTTGTAGCTGCTGTTTGCATGTCCAGAAATTGACAGATTCCAATTATAGTTGTTTGCTTGTATATTGCTAAGTGTGGCTCATACCTTTGATGATGGTTGAGTTAGAGTACCTGAAATCTTGGGAAACTTGTGTCATGCTTGGTGTTGTCATCTTCTTTGCTATCGTGGCATTATAAATTGTGCGATATTTAAAGTAAGCAATGTGAAGTGCTTGTGCATGTTAACGTAACCTTGTGCTTGCTTGTCTTACTTATCGCATGCGCTGCATTATCTATTGCACTTCCATGTATTCATACACCTGCATCTTGCATCTCATTTAGGTACGCTAGATAAACCACGTGAAGGATGTGATGTGGAGCCGAACTCGAAGAATAGGTTTGGTGGATCTATCCCGAAGATGGAAGGACTAAGCAAGTGCTAGGACCGGAGATGTCACCAAGTCGGTGCAAGCTAACTGAATTGACTTGTGTCGGATCCCAGGCAAGCCCCGGAGCATTTTAAGTCTCCCAGTATTTTATAAATGATTACTTAAGTACTTATGATTGATGCATTAGGTTATAAGAGTTGAATGGAACCACTTGATGCATATAAATTCCTTGTCCAGATATTACACCTTTAACCGGTATAGGTCCAGGATCGAATATATGCTTAGCCATGCTTAGACCGGTAGAAGTCGGGTGATATCCTGTCACCTACGAGATATAGGTGGATACCGGAGCACGGTTGGCTATATTTGCTATCGTGGAACAGAACCATGGGGTAAAAGAAAATCGAGGCCGGGCGGAGTCTATGCGTAGGATGACTCATATGATTCCGTCTGTGCCGATCAAGGACCGTACCGTTGTTGGAACTTCTGACAAGATTGAACGCATGCCTATCACTTAGCTGGCGGATAACTCGTTCCGACCGCCGAAGCCGAGTAGCTCAACTCAGGCCGGGACCCGTTTTGTTGTGCGCTCCTTGCGGAGGCGATCGATCGACCGAGCCCAAGGCGAGGCTAGGGCCTGAACGTCCCGGCATCTGGTGTCCTAGATTGTCTTGGCGTGAGACGGACCCATGAAATGTGTACTGAGTTGTACCAAAGGTGACCTAAGGCTATCGTGGTTGGTAGACACTGGGTTTGTGTTAGGAATAAATTCGGCTGGTTGAAATCGATTTGAATCGCCGTCTCTCCCCGGATAGTGAGAAACTTGGCTAGCTCCAACATCGTAGTAAGCGTGTTATGGAATATGATGGTTCGAATGAATTTGGAATTTCAATACCGCTATGGTTACTATTGTATGCTCTAAAAGATATACCACATGTTTGGTACGGGATAGTTGCTAATCTAGAGATGGATAGTCATAATTAACTTGATGATAGAATTATAATTGTATAATTGAGTTAATCGCTTTTTATGCAAATTGTTGTCAAGCTACCTCCACTTATAAAGCCTTGCATACTCCTTGGAGTCAATTTTATTTCTGGTTATGACGGGTAAGTCTAGCTGAGTACATTCGAGTACTTAGGGTTTATCCCACCATGTTGCAGGTAAGGTTTTGACCTGCTGAGGATGGTGGCTAACCACCGGTGGGCTCGGTGGCTCTATATTCACTTCTCATCTACATACTTTTGTCTGAGGATGTCACTTATGCTAGCAATGTATTTGGACTCATATTAATGAAATCCTTCGAAAGAAATGTTGTTTTCACTAATCGGTTTTGAAATCCAAACTTATATTATTATTTATGAACCTAATTGTAATATTATTTCATTTTGCAACTCTCGTGTATGTGATGTGTATTTGCTTAATCACGCGATCTTGGTTGTGATGTTGATTTACCGAGGTCCTGCGTGACACTCGGCGGACTACCGGGTTTATATAAGTGAGAGTATGCGCGTGTCAACGTGTTAAGCGAGGACAGCCGTACTTGATCTTGTATAAATTGGGCGGTTCTGTCACAAACGGCTAGGCTGATAAGCTCAAGCACATCCAGCCCAGCAAGCCGTTTCATGCCAACCGAACAGGGTGCATGACATCGACGACGACCATGGCCTACCTGGTGGGGGACTACCTAGCCAGCAAACTCGGGTTTAAGGGGGGCGTCGAGAGCAACGGCCAGCGACCTCCTCCTGTTGGCGCCAGGGTGGTGATGGCGCTTTGCATGCCATGGCAGCGACGAGCAGGTGGATGGGTCGCGGCGGTGGACGCCCCGCGCGGCGCGGTGCAAGATTGGGGTGAGCGCGGCACGGGTGGGGCACGGCGACGAGGAAAAGTAGGCGGATGGACAGCGCATCGCGACCGCTGCGGGTAGACAACATGGTGAAAGCGGTTGCGGTCGCGAGTGGAAGAACGACGCGTTGCCTGTTGGCCCAATCGATGCACAAGCCTAGGAATGGGGGCGTCCGAACGGATACGCCTGGACCGTCGTCCTCGTCAAAGCATTATCGATAGTTTTTTGGGTTTCCCTTTTGTTTGGACGGAAGGCATTTGTTTGCTTGATGATGATGATGGAAAAAAACGAGGGCATACGGTTATTGGCGAACTACGGAATGGGCAAACCGAGCGAACTGCGGAATGGGCAAACCCGGTGCATACGGTGATTTGTGAACTGCAGATTGGACACGCAATTCAAAGGAGAAAACAAGCGCCCTGTTTGCTTGTTGGTTTCAACCAATTTAAACCAAAGTACCAACAAAGTGTTTTCTCTCACACGAAAAACCAAAGACCACCAAAAGCCCAAACCAAAGACCAACACCAACCTTGAACAGGCCCAAGAAAATACCAGGGGAATGACTGAACTTAGTAAACATAAAAGTAACTTAATCATCTGCGACCATTGTTCCATATATCCTTTATTTTGGGCACTCACGTGACACCATCATCTTTAATTAGCTTGGATCGAAATTGAGGTGACGCACATTCACTTCATCACGGAAGCATGACTGGCAATACAAATGTAACAAAAATGACTAGAGCAGATCGGTGATGAAGCATAAGTCGCGATGCAAAGTTTCTTGTAAGCTCAATTGGCTCCTAATCTTGATCGGAGCTCAGTAACAACTGCATCGATGAACTCTTCAGTGTTCAGGTAATGGCTCCTTGTGACGCTGCAAATTAAGAAAAGGTCATGTGCTGATCAGGCACTGAGAAAAGATCGTGCAAGAAATATAATGTAGCAGAACTAGATGACGAAAACTGAGAAGCATAGCATACTTGGAAGATCCATGAACAAGAAGTGCAAGATCTTTAGTCATCTTCCCAGACTCCACAGTTCCAACACAAGCAGCCTCGAGTTTGAGAGCAAAGTCGAGTAGCCTAGCATTGTCATCCAGCTTTGCCCTGTGGTGCAGAAACAAAGGAATACCCAAGTGAATCAGTTAGCCATAGAAACCTACGTCCAAGTCCAAGAATGGAAATTCACCTCAAGCTGATACATTGCATTAGCTCGCTATTTTGGTGAAAGAAGGGTGATGTTCTTACATACCAATGTTATATAGCTAAACAAAGTAAAACTCCCACCGCCTATATTACAGAAGGTTGTAAACGTGAAAGGCTTGCCCCAAAGCAAGTAGAAGTTGTACCTGTGTGCAAGTCCTCTTGTCCATGCAAAGATTGAAGCAATGCTGTTCGTACTGGTTTCACCTCCTTTCTGGTGAACACGGAAATGACGGGTAACTGTGCCATGGGCAGCTTCAGCTTCAATGGTTTTTCCATCAGGGCACACCTATATACAGGACGGATTGACATCATTGTGTATCTTTATGAGAATGTAAAGCATGGATCTCTGAAGGTACATTCCCAGGTATGACACCAATTCAACAAAAACTAAGGTTCTTTTTTCTTAAATAACATCTAGTCAAGAAAGTAAACCAGAAATCAGAAAGTACATACCAACACTGATGCCATCAGACCCAAAGAGCCAAAACCTGCACATGGATATATAGGTTGAATTATTAGAATGCATTTTAGCCTTGTTGATTATCACACAAGGGGAAAAGATATTATTGAGCATGTTCTATGCATGGATTCAGAAGTTTGTATATTATGACCTTGAGCTAAGAAATCACTCTGCACATCTCCATCGTAGTTCTTGCAAGCCCACACATAGCCTCCTTCACTCTTAAGCGCATACGCAACCATGTCATCAATAAGACGATGCTCATACCTGCCAGATTCGACATCATGATAACACTGAGAGAACTTTCTAGAAGATTTGAGCAAAAACACGATGGAAATTCACCATATTCCAGCAGCCTCAAATTTGGATTTCCAGCCAGCTTCATAGACCTCCTGGAAAATGTCCTTAAACCTGCAAGGCCACAAAATATCACAATGCAAACGCACACACATATATAATAAGACCAATTGTCTATAAGACAAGCAACAGATAATAAGAGCATATAAAGATGTAAGCACCTGCCATCGTATTTTTTCAGGATTGTGTTTTTGGTGCTAAGGTAGAGCGGCCATTTCTTCTCATAAGCAGTTGTCATAGAAGCCTCGGCAAAAGCTCGAATTGACTATCAATAGCAATTAAAAAGATGTTCAGAAAAATACTCAGAATCGAGACACTATATCATAAGTTGTAACTAAAGAAAAGCGAGCTAGTAATGACATGTAGTACCTCGTCAGTGTTGTACATAGACAAGGCAACTCCTCCAGCGCCAGTGAAGTTGAACACCTCCAGATCAATCTGTTCTTCTTTTCCCTCTACCAATTGAGAAGGAAACAAGAAAAAATAGAGGATCAAATTTTGGCTCGCATCAGCTCTCTGAATGACAAACAATGCAATCATACAGGACATAATGTGAATCTGTGAAAGAAAAAAACTGTTAAGAAATTCAGTTTAATGATCTGATGTAGGCAACCATACGTCCATACCAAAAACTAGCTTCAGCTTCCCAGGCCCCTTCAGAACCGCATCAGTAGCTCGGTACTGATCACCGAAGGCATGCCTCCCAATGCAGATGGGCTTAGTCCATCCTGATTTCAAAACCATTTCAGTTTAGAGGGAAAACATTATCAAAATGCAGAGTAGTTTCACGTTTTTGTTAAATACCTGGAACAAGCCTTGGCACGTTTTTGCATATAATCGGCTCTCTGAACACAGTGCCTAAAAGTAACAAGCAGAAAGAGGAGCTTCAACAACCAAACTATGAGTATTGCATTCAAATTACAAAAGCACTTTACCGTTTATAATGTTCCTAATTGTGCCATTTGGGCTCTTCCACATGTGCTTCAGATTGAACTCCTTAACCCGAGTTTCATCTGTCACATGTTGAAGTAGAGATATATAAACTTACATAAAAAGGTATTTCAATAATATTAAGAGTGCATATTTCATCAGCATAAGAATCAAATGTACCTGGAGTGATGGTCGCACACTTAATAGCCACATTGTACCTGCAAAACATTGGGTTAGATCTGAGTAATATGGAACAACAATGGTAGAATAACATGGCACGACCTTGATTTCAACAAAATTCATAAGAATCTTGAGATTCAAGCATACCCTTTGCATCAGACTCAAAATACCTAAAAAACTCTTACTTGAGAGTAGCCTCTGCAGCCTCCACTGTGACCTTGTCATCAGTTGCGTCACGGTGCAGTATCCCCAAATCATAGTACTTGATGTCCAGATCAAGAAATGGAAAAATAAGCTGCAAAAAAATAATATTGTCATCATCTAGCCTAATGAAAACAGATAAAAAAATAGGAGCAAGCAGTGCAGTTTAATCAGACGACTGGGAACGCATGAAGTATTGATTACCTTGTCCTTGATAGACTGCCAGAATACCCTGGTCATCTCATCACCTGTAATAGGACAACGGCACAAGGTATCAGCTACAGTGTGTTTGAGCAAATTAATTTAGCTTTGTCCATTTCAGATTGGAAAAGAAAATACATTACAAACTTATCACTAAAATGGATTATTATTTTTGTTTCTATTATTTAAATATGGGATAGCGTTATCTTGTTTTTTTTTCTTATTCAAAGATGGAAAAGACAGCACATGGGTCAGTATTCAGTACAAGCAGAGCAACAATGATGACCGAACGCAAAGCAAGACTATTTATTGCACCCAAAAATTCAAAAATTGCAGCTTAAGTATACATAACTAAGTGGGATCCAGTAGTTATACATCCACCAAAACTATTCCACTATCAGTACACCACCAGGCAGGGGCGAAGCTACATATAATTTAGGGGTGCATTGCAGCACTCAAAAAATGAAAAAAAAAGGTGACTTTAACTATAATTTCATATATGCAGTCCCTATAGTATAGTTAAGTCCATGAGCCAACAAGACAAACGCACACTCGTCCAATTTGCTCTAGCTTCGCCACTGCCACCAGGAAAGCACTGGTGAGTGGTGACATCTAAAACATGGTTTTTCTCTATTTTAGGCAGACTTCGTCTAATTTTTTTATCTATTTTACACAGACTTCGTGTAAATTTTCCACACCTTCATCCGTAGATAGATCATCCGTGCACCCGCTGCATGCCTGAATTTAATCCCAAACGCCAGGGAGGCGAACGGCAATTTAATCTCAGACGCCAGGGAGGCGAAAGGCAAGAAATCGCCTCCCGCGCTTCCGCGGACATGCGCCGCGGCGACACGACTACAGATTACACAAGAGGTTCCTCGCCAAAAAACTCCGTTAGCGTCTTAGCGAACCCAACCACCAAAACTTGACCAAACAAATCAGAGTGATCACAAGGATAGCACCGCAACGACGGTTCAATCGTACAGATCTCGGCGCACCCCAAAACCCGGCTTTAAAATTAAAAATTCAGCAGCGCGACGCGAAGGTGCGATTGGTTTATGATCGGCAAGCGATGGGATCTCACCGTCCATCTCGACGATTGGGTTGGAGACCTTGATCTTCTCGAACGCCATGGCGGCGTTGGCGGGGTCGTAGCTTTGCCTCGGAGATCGGGAAGGGGCAGGTAGGGGTTGCGGCGGCGCTTGTGGAAGGAGGAAGAGAGATGGCAGGCAGGGGAAGAGAGAAGGAAGAGAGTCTGCGAGCGGATTTAAAGAACCGGAGGGCTGCTCCGGGCCCACATGCCAGTAGTGGATACGTTTTGTTAACCCGGGCTTGTTCAGATCACGCGAATAACGTAGGAAAAATAGAGCAGTCTGTAGTTTTCTTTACTGTAACACCGTTTGGAATAAAGGAATCAGCTCTGATCGTTCCATAGGAAAGGCAAAATAACCTATACTTTTGGAAGAAATAGAAAATGAGCTCCAAGCACGGGAAATCTTTCCTCTGTGGCTCTGTCGTTTACAAACTCACTCCTGAGAATAAACAAAGCTTTATGTACGGTGGTTCTACTTCATCGAAATGCTACAAATACACGACATGGAAACTTTCATGCAATTAGTATTTTTGTGTTCCAAACACTCGTTTCTATAAAATTCATGTGTTTTTCAATTCTCTGTTTTACACCTCTATACATTTTCCATTCCTGTGTTTTCTCTCGTTCCTGTGTTTTGCATCCCTCCGTTCCAAACAGGCCCGGAGTAGTTTTCCCCTGTGGGCGCCAGCTTAGGATTGGAAGGTGGGGCCAACCTGTTATGAATCGGGGACGTACGCTTGGGCCGGAGCAAGTAGTTTTTTTTTACAACAGCCGGAGCAAGTAGTTGAAGAATCATATGGATTTAATTTGATTTTTCAACAAAATGGCTTGGTTTTGGACTTTTGGTGAGGTGGTGCCGTGACGACCCATAATTTTTTTTTACTATAATCATTGGGATAAGCCGCAAAGATTGAATCTGAATCACTGATCCTCCATCTTTGTATCTAGAAGTAGACTCTCGTACTTAACTCTTTGGAACGCAAGAATACAAAAGCGTAGGAAATGAAGGAATATGATAGGAATGTAAGTAGAAACGAGAGAATTGAAAAACACGGTAGTTTACAGGGACGAGTGTTTGGATGACCATAGGAAAGTCGTACTACCTTAGTGGCAATCTGATCAACTACTGATGGTAGGTTTGCTGTCTTCACCCCACAGTTCACACCTAACGCCCAACTCGTGATTGGCGTGATGCTTCAGAGACATAAAACCAAAGAATACTGAGCTAGTATATATCACCATCAATGCATCTCACAGCATCTCCCACCAACCTAAAGCCACTACAACAAATAATCAGCCTTGTCCAATCATCCTCGACATTCATATACTATGGCATGTTGGTTTGAACTTATCGGTCGGCTTATCAGTTATAATGTACAATATTTTTTTTTCACAACAAAACACCTTTAGCCGGCTAATAAGCCGGCTTTAATACCAGCCGAACAGACTCTATGCTTTAATATAAATAAAGTTGGATAAAAAAAAGGGAATTCAGTTTTCGGATCTGTTGTCTATCATTCTTTCATACCTTAATATGTGTCAATCTTTCAAATGACCCCATGTCGTCGCCGTCAGAGCAGAATATCTAAGAGCACTTAAACTAGGTCGAAGTCACAAAAACATTTCGCGTCGTTCCCGGTAGAAGCGGGTCCACTTGGCGCACCACTACCACCCTACCAGTCTACCACCCCGATAGCAGTTCGAAGAGCCAGCCCAGATGAGCAACACACTTGGTGGCACTGGCACACAGCAACAAACAAGGACACCGTATCATTATCCGTCCGCATACGCTTCCGGTTCCAGGTCCACATGCCGCGATCTTCCTCGTCGCCGTCGTCACAGTCACAGCGACGCATCTACAGCACGGTCGTTCGTCGTATTTAGCTTATAAGCTATGACTTATCAGCCAACGAATAGGATTTTTCTCTCACACCAAACCAGCCAACAATACTTTCAACCATGGCTTATAAGCCAAACCAGCCCCAACGAACAGAACTAGCGGAAGACTTTCCGCTTGTGAGAGTTTCAACGAGATACGCATACTGCTAGCGCCCGGACGTCCGTATAGACGCACGTGGCTGCAGTCTATTTCTGTGTTGCTGCTCCTAGAAAACCGCGCCCTATTTTTGTGCCCGTGCGCTTATCACCCGCGCATGCTGCGCGGAGAGCACCTGCGCCCCTGCCGCCATCATCCTCAGCTTCTCGCGCCCGCTGAGCACTCCATCCCTCCGCTCCCCACGAGCATGCACGACGCCCAAGCAGCTGCAATCGACGGTTGTGGCAGGGTGGGTCACATTGCAATATATGCAACATCTCAGTCTACTTTTCAAACATTTAGATAAAACACTTACAACATACGTACGAAACAGCTGAAACATTTGCAACATGCATATAAAACACTTGCAAAACGCTTGGAAACTCTTGAAAAAAACGATTGCAAACACATGTAACATCCATATAAAACTCTTGCAACATATGTGTGAAACACATGCAACATTCAGATGAAAACATTTACAACGAACGTAAAAAAATAGATGAAACATGTGGAACAAAACACTTGAAACATACATGTATAGGCATTGCAACATGTGCAGTATCACGATCTACTTTTGCAACATCAAGACGAAACACTTACAATATCCAAATGAAACATTTGAAACACAACCTTGCAACATGTGCTGCGCAATGTCACCTTGCTGTTTGGACGAGGTACCCGAGCAGCGCGGGCACGCCGGCGAAGGAGAACGTCGCGATGCCAGGGCCTTCCACACGCCGAGGTCGAGGTCCCCGCCAGGGAGGTCCGTGTTTTATGAGCGATCGGAGGAAGTCGTTGTTGTCGTCCCCGCGCCGCCGAAGACGTGCGACTTGTCGACCACGCCGGCGTCGACGAGGTTCTGTAGGAGGAGTGGGCGCGACGTGGCAACAGACGCGGCGTGTAGCGGCGAGGCGGAGTGGGGCGAGCGCCAACGAGGTTTTGTAGGAGGAATGGGTGCGGCGTGGCGACAAAAGCGGCGCGCAACGGCGAGGCGGAGTGGGGCGGGCGTCTGATGCGGTGAAGCCGCGACGAACGAAAGCGAATGGGGATTTCTATCGCAGGGTAGAGACGGAGGAGAACATAAAGGAAAGCAGGTCTATTGTCTATTGGACCCGATCGCTGCGCAGACCCGGGACAGGGGTGTCTGGGCGCACACGTCCAGACGGACGCTCCAATTATAGCATCACCGATAAGCATAAGCTTGGAGGCTCCAATCGGAGGATTACGCGTTTTTTGGCCAGCAATTCTGGAGACGTACGTACGTGTCGCTTTTATTTTTTATGACGGGCAGTTGTGCTGATTAACTCGTGTACCATGAAAATCAATATTCACAGTCACAGGCTGAGGCTGGAGCAAACACATATATATCCTTTATTTGAGCAAGATTTGGCAGGTGTCAAAATCATAGTACTACTACCAGTCCGCCGTGACCGACTCCGGCCCAATCTCCTCTAGCGTGTCTTATCATCTCATAGCACACTAGCACAATGACCATTTTTTGCTTCTTTTGGTAAACACAGTGAACATGTGACCACCGTCAACAACTGTTACCAGTTACTCTAATTGCTAGGCTGTATCCCTATCCTTTTTTTTCGCGAACATGTGCTGGGGCACAAGTGTTTCATTAAGAGAAAATGGGTGGAGAAACTCCTTACAAGGTTCCTTGAATTAGATAGGTGGTGCAAGACGCATACCAAAACTAGCTTAAGAGAACCCGACTTTTAACATTGTTTGAGATTATACGGAAACAAAATTGTGACAAACAAAGAAGGGTCAAAGAGACCAACTATCATAGAGATCCCAACTCACAGCATATCGCGAAGGAAGGCCAACTGCTACACGTAAGATCGAAAATTCAACTTCAACTCTTCAAGAGATAAGTTGGTCAGTGCATCTGCCTTTTATACGTGGTTTCGCACGACACGGGGTTTGTCGAAAGGGACTGAGCAGAGATCAGAGGCGCTTGTTTGGGGCTTCATCGTCGGCCGCTACTGCTATCTGACCAAGCGAAGCGGGTGGACACTGGACAAGATGTGGCCACTCCAGCTACCCGGCTCCCAAGTTCGGCACCAGTTAAGGCGTGTTTGGTAAGCTGCCCCTGCCCAGCACGGCTGGCCAGGCCAGCCCGAGCACGACTGCTATGGTGCAACGTTACGTGTTTTTTTCACTGGTCCAGTCTAGCCCGGTTCAACTGAGATTGTGTTTGATTTCGGGCACAAATGGATATGGCTACTCTGCAGCGGACATTTGGTATGCTTACCACCACACTCTCAACTTTCTATCCTTATTGGCATTTCATCGAGCACCCAAGTGGCGTACTCCACCGCGGCCATGGCCGCCGGCGAGCTCGAGGCCCTCATGGCAGCCTCGTCCTGGAGCATCATGGCGGCCTCGTCCTCGAGCGCTCGCCGTTGAACACCAAGACGCGGATGGAGGAGGCCTGGAGCATCGAGGAGGTGGAGTTCAACGTCCCCGTCCTGTCGGTGGTCTGCTTCATCCCGCCGTCTGGCTCCGTCGGCGAGGTCTGCGAGCTGCAGTCCCAGTCCCACAGCGAGCGTGCGAAGACCGGCACCGTGCACCCCTCGCGCGTGGCCGCCGTGGAGCGCGCCCACGCCAACGACGCCATTGCCGGACGAGCTCTGCGGCCCCGTTCCTTGGCGCTCGTCACGGCGTTCTAGTCCGCACCGCCCGGCGCCGGGTAGAGCTGCGGCTGCGGGCGCACGCCGGGGCCGGGGCTGGTGTCGACGAGCTTGTTACCGAGGATCGGCACCTGCGCCTTGACCTCGAACTCCACCACCACCAGCTGCTGCTGCGCGCCATACCCGTCGAGGTCGAAGGCGAACACCGCGTCGTCCCAGTCCGGGCTCTCGCCGCCGTCGGCGTCCGGCTGCGTCTTCTCCCGGTGGCCGCCGAGGGACACCGTGGCGTAGTACGGCGGCTTCTAGAACGGGACGAAGGCCCTCACACCGCGACAGGAGATGGCTGACCCGCAGGAGGTGACCCAACCGCTCACCTGCTCCCTCATCGGCTCACCCGTGCGCTCCATTGCGCCAGGCCGTCAAAAAACGAACCCCACCCCCCCGTTTCCTGGGAGCCAGGCTGCTAGGTGTTTCGAGCAGCGTGCGAGCCGGACTGAGGAACAGTAACAGACCATCAACAGAGCGCAGCCGGGCTGCTGGGCCACCGCAACAAACACGCCCTTAGATGCTCCCCAAACTAGCTTTGTCAACGTAACGCAGGATGGAGTTGTTTCTCAGGCAAAGACGACCACTGGCGGAGCTACGTGGAGGCCATCCTGGGCGATGGCCCCCCCTTGCTACATGCAATTAGTAGAAATTCTGTTCATGGCCAGTAGTAAAAGTCTGCACTCCTTGTTTTCTTCCTCGCCATGCATGGTTGTGTCTCCCAAGGTGCTCATAGTTGCTAGTCTTCTACTGCTCTTTAAGTCATCTCTCATGTCTCAATGTAGCTCCAGTGCTCACAGAGTCACAGCTTGTTCGCCGCTGACCTGTAAAATGGCCCCTGCACGACGCATTCTCAGGATCTCAGCGGCCTCGCCCGGTGTCTGACGGTGGAAACTGGAGCAGGCAGGTGGACATTCACGCTCTCTATTGGACTGAAGCCACCCTCTCCAAACCGGTTGATGGCAAGGCGATACGGCCGCCGGGCGCCCGCGGGCGTGCTGTATGGTGTAGTCCTCTCCAAGCCAACAAGTCACAGAGGGAATGAAATGCATCCTAACGATAATGAAATTACCCTTTTCGCTTGCTTATAAGCCGTACTTTTTTCAGCTAACAAACAATATTTTTCTCTCACAACAAATCAGCCAACAGTACTTTCAGCCATGGCTTATCAGCCAAGCGAACAGGGCAGAAATCAACTTGTTCGAGGAAGAACAGCAGAGCAAACAAAAATGGCAGGAAAGTTTGATGCCTCAAGAATTGTAATCGAAGAACTGAAAACGAAATAACTCTAGGTTCAGAATGACCCAAAGAGAGAACAAATGGGATCCTACTCCTAGAAACAGATCGCGTCAACCTTGACTTTTCACTTTCACCCCAAGAGCGCGGCAATATCTAGTGTTACTGAACAGCACGGCAATTCAGAAACAGTTCAGCACAAGCACACAGGCACACTATCAGTCAGAGGTGCAGGGTGCTGGGTTTCACCCACGGTGATACAATCACGGCTGCGACCAAAGATTCAAGAGACAGCTACGCTGGCCATGTGGGTTGACCCAACAATGCCGAAGCTGGAAGTTCCAACGACAGCGTTCTGATAGTTATCACGCAGTATAACAGAACAGCAAAGACTATGCATTGCAGAAAAGGAACAGGAAGAAATACAACATATATGCATTGCCACACAAAGAATAGGCACAAGCAGAGTTTTACCAGTGAACATAAAATTTAGAATGTTGTTTCTTTGTTGCTTAATTTCAATCGCCCTAGATGGTGAATGTTCATTTATACTGATACGATCTGCAGATGTCAACTTGGGGGCACGTAAATTTTTCATTTAGAAACAAAAAGGTGACTGAATTTGGACTTCCATTCTTTCACTGTTGCGTATGTAAGAACACTCAGCTCAAAATCACCACTGCTGCGTACGGAGAAACATTGAATCACCACTGTGGATGTGGAGTGTGGAAGAACATTCAACTCAAAATCACATAATCAAATTGGTTGAAGCAAAGCATACCACACTTTACACAGTGGGAGAAGTTTTCCTTGCCACCAACCCTGGTTGAATTGAGTGGACACATGATCAGAAATCAGCTTAATTTATATATCAGTTTCTTTTGTGCTCACCTGCATATGCCACAATCGATGCAATGGTACTACCTTTCTGTTTCAGTAAAAGAAGTAACATGCATCAGTTGGTATGAATGGTACAAACTACAAAGCACATACGAAAAGCTTATGCACACTTATGACACCTGAACAACAAAAATGAAGTTTCAGTTTAAGCACAATAACCCTCACGTGGCATGAGCACTGAATAAAATTCTGCACCACTTTAAAGTCATACAGGTTGTTCTAATTCACATAGTAGGAAAACTACCTGCAGATATCGAGAGAGTTAATCTTCCGCATTTGCTGGACTTAGTAAATAAAGTCAATTAAATACAGAAACAGAAAAACATGAAAGGCTTACTTTTTTAATATCCTGACGACATATTTTGTGCCGATCTCCTCAAACAAAAATGCATGTCAGTGCGCTAGCTAATTGGCATAAGGTTCCTGAGTAGACGAGCTCGCTGAGTTATACTGTTCTACTTATGAAAAGGGACACTAGCTCATCGTAGCCTCGTTGTGGCAGTGGCGACAATCGGCAGGGGAACACCAAGTTGCAGCACGGCGCCACGATCTTGCACCTCCGCTGGTAATGCTCGCACCTGCGGCAAGCAGCAAATTTTGGACCTAGCAGAAGCACAGCGAAGCTAGGCCAGCTTGGATCGGGAAACCGAAGGAGGAGAACGTAAACGAGCAAAATCAGGCAGCCACATGGAACCGGAGGTGGGAGCAGATCAACCAGTCACGTAGCGCAGAGCGATTTGGCACCGGAAGGAGCGAATCGAGATTCCGTCGGAAGCAAGGGAGGGAGGCGGGGCGGAGGCACGGCCGCACGGGACAAGGAGATAGATAATCAAGGCAGGCCGAGGCGCGCTCACCCGTGTTCCATCTTGCCCACGTCGCGGCGGTCCGCCTCCCCGTCGCGGGCCGCGTCGACTTCCGCGACGTCGTTGTCGCCGGAAAACTGCGCTCCCCGGCCCATCCCCGTCACGTCACGCACGGACGCTTGCCAGAGTATTCTGTCGAGGAAACACATGTGGTGGCTGGCTGTAGCCTGAAATCAGACTCCGCGTCTCGACGCGCACGGAAGGTTTCCGCCAGGCCGGGCGGCCGGACGATACGAGCCTACGTGGCCTCGCGCGTGGGCGGCAGGGTCTCGGCCTGGCGCCCGGGCTCTCGGCCTGTTTGGCATGGCCAAGCGGCGGCACCGCCCACCGGCGTGGTGAGGGACTGTTCGGCAGGACTTGGAAAATATTGTTTCGGTTGATTGTTGTTAGAGAAAAATACTGTTATGGCAAAATGTGAACAGTGATTCGTGAGGGCGAGAACCAGCCAGCCAGCCGGCTTAAAGCCAGCCGACCACTTGCTGACTTGCCACCTTGGTGTTCCTGGGCAAGCTGGAGAAGGCTTGGTTTGCCGTTTGGTTACCAAGGCAGCCAGACGACGTCCCTAGCTACCTCGCCTCCCTAACCAGGCGGCCAGACGACGTCTTCTTCATGCCAATGGGCAGGGCACCTACCTTCTGGTCCTTACCGTGCTGAAGGCTGAAGCTACACGACGACCCGACTGAGCAAAACGAAGCGCGTCAACCGACGACAAATCGCGCTTCCAGAAAGTTCGAAACAAAAGGGCACCACAATGGAGCGACGGATTCCACTGCGGCGCTCGCTCACTCCCTGACTCGCTGCTGGTTCTTTGAACAAATCCATCGGAAGAACAACACGTCGTCTACTAAAAAAAAATCTGTACCTGCACAGCTCAAACCTCGCCGTCGCCGGACCGTCTTGGATCCGTTCGTGGTGATCGCCTGCCGGGGGGAGGGAGAAGGAGAAGCTGCACGCGCTGGAACCAATCAATCAACCGCCGCTCACCCTCGCATCTGATGTGCCCGGCGCCGCAACTCGAGCAGAAGCTGCCACTGTGATTGGTGACCGCGTCCTCCGCGGTCTATGCACGCACACGGCACGTCTCCCTCTCCCCTCGCACGAGTCGCCGGAATCTTCAATCGCGCCGCGCACCAAATCACCATCAAAACCCACCCGCCGCCGTGCAGCGGAATACTGAACCGAGCCCGGTCGTACTGTCTGGTGGGTTTGGTCGGGTCGAGGGGTCCTCCCGTGGGCGGTGGCAGGCACTGTCCAGCTCCGGCAAAGTCGTCACACAATAGAGGGGGAAAAGAAACTCCGGCGAGCCGTGAGCGATGGCCCGTGGCCGGGCTTAACAGGAATCAGACGAGACGACGCGAATGAACGGCGGAGACGCCGGAGAGGCAATCGCCGCCGTCCCCCCCGCGTCCGACTCAAGATGGATACCTTTCCGCCCGTGGCTTCGAGCACACGGCCACCACCATTATCAAATACCAAAGGAGATGACTGTAAAATACCCCCGAAAAAAACAAATAAAATTAGAACAGAGCAGGACTCCATTAATCCTTCAGACCTTCGTCTTGCTCGGACTCGCGGTCTTCACACGGCTGCTCCGCTGCTGGATCAAACAGCTTCAGACCTGTGCCCGTGCACGATTTTTGATTCACCCATGGAAATCTGATCGACAAGAAAACACCGACAAATCCGAGCTCGACTCTTTGCTTCAGCCAAAGAGATCGATCGACACAAGCCCCGGAACGAGCAAAGAACACGAAACAACAGGGGAGGAAAAAAATTGGGATGAAAAAGCAACGAAATTTCTTCGTCAACATCCGCTTTCGCCGAGGTGGCCGAACATCATCTATCTATCTTGGCATGCATCGGGCATGTAATAATCAAATCATCCGAGCTCAACCTCCATCAACAGCGAGGACCTGCCTACGCTGCTGGTGACATCATCCCCACGGAAGTGGTACGCTGCAGCTCCGCCGCTGCACAAAACTTGTTCATGTCCATCTCTCTCCTCCGGACCATGCCCAAAATCACCACGATTCTACGCCAGCCCAGACCACTTCCAAAAATCGAATTCTCATCGAGCACAACTCGTTCCCAATCGCTCGAAACCCAAATCCACAGCTCAGATCATACATTGATCGAGAACCCAAAAAAGAAATTTCGAAAACAAAATTGCCAGCGCAGATCACCATCCGACCACGAGGCTACCAAAATGCAACGCCCAGACTCGTGCCACCCATCACTCCTGCTCCATCTCCATGGATGCACACCACCGCGGCCACCATCAGCGACCACAAAATCGAGAGGGCAACCGCACGAGCACCAGCTCTGCTCCGAATCGCACGAGGAAACTTCGGGAGGAAAAGAAAAAAAAAACGCATCTCCCTGGCCACCGAGCCGCGTTCCCTTCTCTATTCCCCCCTGTACTTGGAAGCCCATTAGAACACACCAAGAACAAGCAACCGAGAGCAGAGGAGACGAGAAAGAGAGAGAGAAAAAAATCTCCAAAATCCCAGGCCGATTTATCTTCGTCAACAACATCTGGCCAGCTCCATCCGAGGTAGTTTCCGCCGCCTCCGCGAGGTCTCGGGCTCCCCAATTGACCGAATTCGCGAGGCGGGCGGGTGGGCGGGCCGGCTTAGGGTTTGCCAAGGTGCTCCGGCCCTCCTGACTCACCGAGGCGATCTAGCGGCCCGGTTCCGCGGTTCCGGATGATCTTCAAGCGGAATCAGCGGTCGGAGATCCTTGCGCTGCGGCGCTGCAATGCCGCGGGCGGCGGAGGGGAGGACGAGGTGGGAGGCGACCCCCACCCGAGGAAGAGGCGGAGGGGCGACGAGTTCTTCCCCGTCGAGCTGCTCGGACACGTCCCAGCCTCCGCCATCCCGTACGCGGCCTTCGGGCTCCGGTGGAGCGAGGAGCCCGAGGCGCCGGCAGAGGCCGCGCAACCACCGCCCGCGGCGAGGCCACCGGTGGTGCGCACGTCGCGGGGCCGCACCCAGGTGCTGCCCTCTAGGTTCAATGACTCGGTACTTATCGACCCCTGGAAGAAGGAGAAGCCGGCCAAGCCGCCGCCGCCGCCGTCTCCGCCTGTCAAGACAGAGCATTTGGTGCGCAAAAACGGGCTGCTGCACAGTAAAGGTGCAATTTTTGACAGGAGCTTTGCATTGTCCGAGGTAGATGACGACGATGAGGAGGAGGCCATGGTGGAACGTTACCGAGCACGCCGCAATTTTGGTGGCTCCAGGAAGTACTTAACCTCTCGGAGCACACTTACCTCGGTACATGATGAACCATACAGCAATTACCACAGAAAGGAAGTGATGCTTAGGCATTACTATGAGGAAGAAGATGAGGAAGACGAGGAGGATGAACAAGAGGAGGATGAAGGGTGTGAGGAAGAGGAGAAAGAAGAGACTTTTCACTGTACTGAGCAATTGGTGTATGGGGACATTGTGTGGGCAAAGCTTGGCAAACATCAGCCGATGTGGCCAGGAGTGCTGGTCGACCCAACTCAGCAGGCTGCTGCCGATGCAATGCCACCACAGCCTCGCGGTGTTGCTGTGCTTTGTGTGATGCTATTTGGCTGGTGCACAGAGTTCAGTGATGAGAAGGTACAATTTTCCAGGGACTGTTGTATTCAAATTGGTTGACTTTAATTTCTACTGCTTTTCTCCATGGGAAATGATGCATTTGATGATATGAGTTGCAGAAGTACGTGTGGGTGACGCAGGGGTTGATATTTCCATTTTCGGACTACATGGACCGGTGAGTAGTAATTCAAAATCTATAACTACATGGACAACTGTTAAAATGCTGCTAAAACACCTGCTCTAGTACTTTTGACAACTTTACTATGGTTAGAATATGCCAGCTTGTGTGTTGAGAACAAGGTGTATTTCTCATTTCAGATTTCAAGGGCAGACAGAACTAAGCAGTTGCATACCTGCTGATTTCCGGAGGGCAGTAGAAGAGGCCTTTTTGGCTGATCAGGGATTCTCAGAAGTAGTGGTGGATTGCAGCACCAAGGGACAGCCTGTGGTGTGTCATTCTTTCCCAGATGATTTACATGAAGTGACTGGTTCAAATGAGTTGGAGTACCAGCCACAGATTAAGGCAAGTTGATGAATTTGTTTATAGTTGATGCACAACTAAGGCTATGCATATGTGTAGGAGATTTCAACAGCAAATCAATGGCTTATGCCCAATCTTCTATGTTTTGTTTTAATGTCTGTTATGTTACTCTAAGGGAAGCTTATGATGTTACATTACCTTGCGTCCTTGCCTCAAATAGGAAGATTTCAGATGAAGGTCAAAGGACCATAAAAGAATTGATGTATGACAATGATAAAATCTTGAAACAGATACACTCTTAACTGAATCATTTACTATGTATAAGCAGAATGATATTATTCTGGTAATTCTCTCTGTGGAACATGAAAGTTTCTTTCCCTAGTTCTAGGTTTGTCATCTCCTGGCAAGTGTTAGTTCTATAAGGTCACTTCAGTATACCCTATTACATTTTAAGACTGTATTGAAACTACTGTAGTTAGATGATATATTGCCTCATCATTAGACTAATTGTATTTGTTTGATCAGTTAGATGATAGATTGCCTCAGTGGACTAATTCTATTTGTTTGATCAGTTAGATGATATATTGCCTCAGTAGACTAATTCTATTTGTTTGTTCATTCATGCAGCAGTGCAGAAGAGCACTGCAGTGTGAGAGTTGTGGAAACTGCTTTCCGAACAAGGATGCAAACAAGATGGTGTATGTGATGGAGCAACTTGCTTGCAGACTTTGTGCCGGGGTATGTTTTGTCACACGAACTTCAGTGCTTACATTATGGTTATTATGTTGGCAGAACTTGAGCATATAGACCTTACTCCTAACACTACTTTTTTTTTTGCACCTGCAGATCTTGGCATTAAAAAAGTACTGTGGAATTTGTTTAAAAAGTTTGCAACATAAATCTGGTGGAAGATGGGTAAGGCAGTCTGTAGATGTTTAAGTGTTAAGTATATCTCATTATTCGTAGCTGCAAATTCTCATGGGAATAAGCAATGATCAGGTTTGCTGTCATGGCTGTGAAAGTTGGGTTCATTCAGAATGCGATGAAAACTGCAGCAACCTAAAGGTTTGTCTTTATTTTCTCATAATAACAGACCAAATACATCTGCAGTATTTTAGCAAGTGCCTATAACATGCTCATAACTAAATGCGGTAGGATCTACAAGACAACAGTTATCACTGCCCTTACTGTAGAGTTAAAATGAATTCAACTCTCCCTGGGAAGAACACAAAATTTTCTGATGTCAGGTAAGCGAAAATCATTTGTTTATGTGATGCTTTCATATTTGAAGTGTGTGTTTTTGACAGTAACATGTCTACTATAATAATTTTGTTAAGCAGAAAAAATAGTTCTGCACAGAAAGGAAGCAAGCCTAACAAAGTTGCACTGGTCTGTTTTGACCTGGAAGGAACATACCAACCAGATCTCGAATTGTAAGTTCTGTGCTGTGTTAATTGCGTATGAAATTCTTTGATGCCATCTGCTATCTCTGTCCACCACTCCTCTTTTTCCCCTTTTATGCTTGTCACTCTGATGCGATGTTCATACTAGAATTTTCTTGACTTTTGGTTAATCTTTGTGGCAGAATTTCTTGCCATTGTGGCCCTTGCAAGGGACAGAAATTTTTGTTCAATGAATGGGAGCGGCATGCTGGCTGTAGAAGTAAAAATTGGAGGTCCAGTATTAAGCTTAAGGGCTCATTGATGCCATTTGGGAAATGGGTGCGTATAGTGGCTACAGCATACATACTTTTGGATTCTATCACTAAATAGTACAGAGTTCATAATGAGAATATGTTTGTCATCCAAATTAAGTTTGTATCTTTGTGCTTTGTGCTTTCTGTTTTTGTATAAGACTGCCAAACATTTTGATTTACAGATAGATCGACATCAGCCAGGCGTGTGCCCTACTAATCCTTCAAAACGCTTATCTCAGAAAATGAAGAAACAGAAGTTAATTGATTTGCTAAATGGTATAATAGCTTTGATTTTAATCTTAGTAGCTTAGTTGTTTTGAAGATATTTCTCCCAGCAGATTTCAATTCGTGGAGCTTGAATTTGTTTCCCATGCAGACCCATATGATCCTGTAAATGTAAAATGGACGACAGAAAGATGTGCAGTCTGTAGATGGGTTGAAGATTGGGATTACAACAAAATTGTGATTTGTAATAGGTAAATGAACCTGTATTGTTTGCAAGTTTTTTTTCTCCAATTTCAATTTGTTTTGAAATATGGTGCAAATCCCAAGCCGCAACTAACAACACTCATGTTCAGATGTCAGATCGCAGTTCATCAGGAATGTTATGGTGTGACGGGTAAGCAAGACTTTACTTCATGGGTTTGTCGGGCTTGTGAAAAACCTGAGCAAAAGAGGGAGTGCTGTCTTTGCCCTGTGAAAGGTAATCCCTGTGCGTTTGATAACTATTCTGTAATTCCTTTCTTCGGTAATTGGGTGCATTGGAAAAGAAAAGGTAATAGTACTGGATGAACACATTGATACTTCTATACAGACATTCGAACCTTGGTCTGTTAAGTTAATAACTGTAGCGACAGGCTTTTTACATGAACACCTGTTAGGTATTTGCTTCCCTTCTCAACTTCCATGACTATTTCAGTAGCTAAAAATTGAACCACAATTGGTGTCGTGTAGAGTGGGTTTATCAATTCTGGATTTGAATATCTGGGTGCAGTTTGCTTTCTTTTTTTACGAGTATTTTTTTCTAATCATTAACCTTGGCACCTCGTGAACTTTGAACTTATTGTAGGTGGTGCTTTGAAGCCAACAAATGTTGATAACTTGTGGGTTCACGTGACATGTGCATGGTTTCAGCCACAGGTTGCTTTTGCTGATGAGCTCATGGAACCTGCTATTGGGATATTGAACATTCAACCTTTGCTATTTATGAAGGTGGTTTATCTTTCGTACTATAATTTATGTTGTTTAAGTGGATTGACCGACAAGTACTACATTTTTTGTGCTGAAGTATGACAGTCTATGCTCTATGCTCATCTATTTCTGCAGATGTGTGTGATTTGTAAGCAAATACATGGTTCATGTACTCAATGCTACAGGTGCTCTACTTACTACCATGCCATTTGTGCATCAAGGGCAGGCTATCGAATGGAGGTACATCAGCACTGAATGATACCTTTATTCCTTTATGCTGATTTAAATGTATAATTGATTCCTTTTTCTTTATGTCTCACATTTTTGTGTATATAGGTCTAACTTTTACCATGAACTCTTTTTCCATATATGCAGCTTCACTGCTTGGAAAAAAATGGCAAACAGACAATAAAGAAGATTTCTTACTGTGCCCAACATCGGTAAGATTTCTTTTGACTGGAGGAATTGAAAAAAAAAGTATGTTCAATTTAGTGATTTATTTAGCCTTATCCGTCTTAGTGAGAGGTCAAACCTTTCTTATTTCTGCGCAGGAGCCCTAACCCTGATAATGTTTTGATAATTCACACTCCTGCTGGAACTTTCTCATCAAAAAAGCTTGCTCAGAGCAATGGCAAGGTAGCTGCATCGAGACTGATCAGGAAAGATATTCCCTTGGATTTGCCGTCAGAAGTTGAAATTTCAGAGAACATATCAGCGGCAAGATGTCGGATTTATGTTAGGAAGGATCTAAAGGTATATATTATCAGGGTTATGTCTATTTCCATAAAGAACTTATTTTTAAGATGAAAGTAGAGAATGCAACTCTAGAATAGCTACTAGAGGAACCATACAACTGACTTTCAACATGGTGACGTAAACAGACCTTTGCAATGAAGTTCTTGAATGTTGGTTGTGCATCATAGGATATTAATGTTTGGTCTTACAGGAAGTGCCACTTAAGTATGCATGGTTCACTAAAAGATAGCAGTAGTAGCTAAAGCTATTGACTACTAAGCATGCGAAGAGGCTACTGCCATATAATCGGTTTAGTGGTCTTGACATGTAATTTTTACTAAGCTTTGAAATTAGTCATACTATGCAAAAGGTTGTAGAGATGGTTCCATATCACCATATGTCCCTGCAACCAACAAGCTATATTGAATTGTGGCCAGATACTAGTAAGCTTGTACTCGAAGAAAGATTTTTTTGGGTGTGTTTGTGGGTATGTGTTGTAAGGGCTCTCTACCCCTTTTCTTCTTATTTTCTTAATACAATGATACACAGCTTTTGTGTGTGAGAAAAAAATAAAGTGGTTCTGGAACTGATGACTTGCAGTCTAGGTTAATAATATGGTTGGTTACATACTTTACATGGAAACTTTGTAGCCAAAGAAGTTTAAACAACTCCTAAACAAAAAGGTGAAACCATTCAGAATGCTGCTTTCACCTCTTGTAGGTTGTAGGGATCCAATATGCCAAAGAAAGTATGCATGGACCATGGGGGATACAATTGATGATTCGATGTTTATATTTCATGTTTGACCCCAAAGTGTACATCCATTTTTGCATGTACATCACCTGATGTTACTTGTTGTACTTCCAAATTAGTTTCATCCAGTTGGACAGGGAGTCTGGTTAGAAATTATTGTTTCAATTCAACCAATGCTAGAAAAGTTGTTTGACGGTATCTAGACTTTTAACCAATTCTCCCTTGTAATAGAGGTTCCTGACTTGCCAAAGGCCTGCCAGTCTCAGGTTTAAATCCACACGACAAGAATAATGATAATCTCTACACTGATGCTTGCTTTGCTATGTTATTGCTTTTAATAGTTTATTCATGTCTGTATGTATCAGCCATTGGTACGTCACCTGTTTCGAAGCATAACTGTGTTTTATTAACATGCAGAGATCTAGAGATGGAGCAATTGCGCATCGTGTTAGAGGACCTTGTCAACACCGCTGGGATGAAATTGATAATCTGAATCCACCAAGGGTAATTTTCTGATTTACTGCATAACTTGTTCTCTTATAAGATTTTCTCTCTCTTGTATTAGAGTTCAATTTTATAAAGCAAGTTTTTGTACTTATCTGCAGGAAAAGAGGGATCCAGAATCTTTTTGTACTTTCAAGGAGCGTTTGTGTTATTTACAGGTTAGTGTGTCTAGTGCTGTCAAGTTTCTGTAGTACCTTCTGGCTTCTGTGCTAGTATGATATTATGATTTATTTTTCTTATTTCAGAAAACAGAGCATGGTAGAGTATGCTTTGGTAGATCAGGAATTCATAGGTGGGGACTTTTTGCTCGGAGGGACATTCAAGAAGGAGAAATGGTACTTTCCCTGACTATGTGGCATATGCCATGTTCTCTTCAGAATTGTCGCTACTAGGAACCTAGATTTACTTCATTGTGATGACAGTGCTCACTTTCTATCTTTATGTCTATAATTTCTCATATTTTGTAACAATCGGTGGTCTACTAACCCTCCGGTAAATTCTGAGTTTCTTTCTGCCCCATTCCTCTCACTGAGCTTGAATTACTAGAGTTGATTTCTCATAAGTCCACTGCTTCTGTATCCAATAAATTTGCTCACAGAAGCAGTTCTTTATTTATATATTTTCAGGTCCTTGAGTATCGCGGTGAGCAGGTTAGACGAAGTGTAGCTGATTTACGGGAAGAAAAATATCGTGTGCAAGGCAAAGATTGCTATGTGAGTCTTCTGACATTGTTACATTGGTTCTTCAGATATGTGGTGTAAAGAACTTCTTGAATAGATTCCCCCCCGTGCAATTGCATTCTCTCTAAGTACAATGCATATGCGGTTATGGCTCTGGTGAGCTTATTATGCTAATTTTATTATGGAAGCTCTGGAGTAGCGCAGGAGGAAGATCAAACAATTTCATCTCTGATAATCCTTTTCTGCTACTCTTGATATTTTGAATGGTGAAAGAAGACGCGCGTTTTTAATCATGTTGCGTGTATTCACATTTAACAATTATTGGTGATATCTTTATTGAACTTGTCTTTTCTACTTCACTGTCTAGTGAGTTGATAATTTACATTTTATTGATTTCTTTCCTTTGTGTGCACAGCTTTTCAAAATCAGTGAGGAAGTGGTTGTTGATGCCACAGACAAAGGAAATGTGGCACGATTGATCAATCATTCTGTAAGGATCATATGCCAAATTTCAAATATGTTTAGCTCTAAAATAGATGCTCATTTGACATTTTTTTTTTACTTTTTGATGCAGTGCACACCAAACTGCTATGCAAGGATTATGAGTGTTGGACATGATGAAAGTCGTATTGTTCTAATAGCCAAGAAAAATGTTTGTGCTGGTGATGAGCTAACGTATGTTATGTGAAATGAATCTCTCTTTGTTGAACTTCTCTTCTACTATCAGTTCCAAAATGTATGTCATTTTAGTTTTGTCCTAAGTCGAAATCCTCTAACTTTGTCTAAGTTTGTAGAATAATGTACTAAGATCAAATTCGTTTAATTAAATCCACCATTAAGTATGTCTTGGTAGTGCATTTTAGTTGGTATTGTAGATGTTAATTCTCTATAAACTTAGTCAAAGTTACAAAAGATTGACTTGGGACAAAACCAAAACGGCTTACATTTTGAAACGGGGTCATAAACACACAACTCGACTAATCATGTTATTTGTTGTTTTAATTCCAGGTATGACTACCTGTTTGATACAGATGAGGCTGATGAACGGAAAGTGCCATGCCTTTGCCAGACTGCTAACTGCCGGAAATTCATGAATTAGTTTACTTAGATGTCAGAGGATCACTGACATAGTTTTTCCCCCTTGTTTACCCCCCCTTTTCCCCTCGCAATGATTCATTTGTGGTATATGTTGATCTCCCCCCGATTTTTGTTTACATTCATCTTAGAATAAGTTTAGTTAGAGCTCAAAAGTCGAGCTTCCATTCCTGTAAATACCACAGTTGTATTCACTAGGGACAGTTCATTTTTTTTTCAAATAAAATTTTTTGTGTCATGTTGAGCTCGATCATGCACATCAGCAGACATTGACATCATGACATGCCCATATTCTTAAATATACTTCTGAATCATCATACAATTGAGGCCTCTCTGCGTTGTACAGTTGTACTCCATGTCCATATTCTTCAGTATACTTCAGAATCATCATACAATTGAGGCCTCTCTGCGTTGTACTCCCTCCATCCTGATATGTAAATGTATTTTGATTATAGAAAAGTCAAACAAAATCTATAATTTCTTACAATATATTTTTATTTGATAAAGAACCGATACCATCTCAGAGTCTTTTTTTAATACAACTATTTATGCAAGTTTTATGCCCTAAATTTGTATATAATTTGATTCATTGTTGATCTACGTTTGTATGCTTGTCATCTTTAAACTAAAGACAAAGTAACCGCAGTGTTGTGCGCTGTTGGGACCTAGAAATCGAATCCGTGCAAAGCGACGTTGGGACCTTTTCTCTTTCTTTCTCCTCTGATCAGAAGTCGAAAATATCCGCCCCAGCTAACATTTATATTCCGCTGTCATTTTTACAAACTAAAAACGAAATAACTGCAGTTTTATGTGCTGCTGGAACACGGAAATCGCAAACCGTGCAAAGCAATGTTCGGACGACCTTCTCTTTCTTTCTTGTCTGATCTTTTTTTTTTTTTTGTGCGCGCGCGCGCGTGTTGGGCGGGCGTTGGGGTTGTTGAGGATGTTTCTTCTTTTTTTTTTAAGCCTCTCGTCTGGGTACAGTTGTAATATCTGTTCATACACGAACACACACGTCCACACTACCCACGCACACCCCACACACCACGCGTACATAACTAGATCTACAATTACATGTAGATTGAGCGGAAGTCGAATATCCGCCCTAGCTGTACTAGTGGCTCAAAATGCCTGCCTCAGCCCAGGACACAAATGACGTTGTTCACGTGGGGCCCATGTGCCCATGGGCTCATGTCAACTTACTCCGGGCTTGATTGGTTGGCTATCAATTTTTATCCAACCAAAATTATGGCAAGTCAAAACTTAGGCTTGTCAAAATCAAGGCTATCAAAGTTAGGACAAAAAACATAGGTGTGTATTTGGTTTGCTGCCAAAATCAAGGCTTGCCAATTTTCTCTTTTATATACAATTTAAGAACTTTCTAGAGACTTGTCAAAACTTTGGCCATAAATATTGGTGTGTCAGTTCTTTAGCAATGAACCAATTGATAACTATAAATTTTGGTATGCCATAATTTTGGCTAGGCAAGAATTGGAAGCCAACCAATCAAGCCCTCTATTCTTTTTCACACGTGTTAGGTTAAACATTTCTAACTTTGATTATTGTTTTTAAAAATATGTGCATGTTGACATGTATAAAATTGATGGTTTTAGATTCACTATGGCAAATAGTTTTATAATTTATAATATATTGTGAAGCTATATGGATTTCTTCTTAAAATCGATGGTTGGAGATGAAAATAACAAAGCGAGTACACATCACCCAATACCGCTCAAGTCACTGGCGGTGGTGGACTGGTGGTGCTGTCCCCGCGAGAGTTTGGATGAGCTGGTCGATGGGGACACTGCTCGCTCGCAGATGACGTCGATGTCTCATGCTCGTAGATTTCATCTTATTGCAAGCAACGTGTTTCCTCCGAGTAGCGGTTGTGGCTCGACACGATGGAACGATTGTCCTGCATTCCTGTACTCCCTCTATGTTCTTAAGAGCAACAATAATAGTAGGATGTAAGCCGGCCGAACGTTGAGATGGAGAGAGAGATAAGAAAACGGACTATGAGCTTACAGTCGGCTTAAATATAAGAACCAAGAAACTTTGTGATAGAGAAAAGTAGGCTATGTATTAATAGTAAAAAACTCACTACTATATGGGTGGGTTGAGAGAAGGCTGCAAAGATTCTTACAGCTAGCCTGTCGGCTGTATTATTAGCCTTGCTTTAAAAAAAATCGTTTTGGACATCGACACGATCTAAAAAAATAACTTTGACCATTGCCTTTTGCTATAAAATATTTATAAAATATAGTCAATATATACTTTTATAAAACTATTTTTTAAGATATAGTCAATATATAGTTAAAATTTAAAATATTTGACTTAAAGACAATCTTAAAACGACTTTATCCGAGAACATATAGGGAGTAATCCCTCGTGGCTTTCAAGCCTAGTAGAATCGAACGCGGCGCCGACCGACCGAAGCGGAAGAGCCACAACGGCAGAAAGCCGCCGCTGCGCGGCCGATTCGATCCTAGGCCACACTTAGGCTTACGAGTTACGAGCCAACTCCAACCGTGTGAGCGGTGAGCCCTTGACCAAGCTCACCGTCCTGCCGCGTCGCATATTCTGCACACCCAACTCCAACCGTGGGACGCGGACCAAATTGCAACGAATACAAGTGGACTGCTACTTTCCAATACCAATGGGTATGTTGTTTTCGAGCACTTTGAAGGGAAGGGAAGTTGAACATTGGAGTATTGGACTAGCTAGCGACTATCTAATGGAGTACGTAGCTCGTGGTCACCACTAACATTCCGGGAGGAGAAATGCGTGAGCTCCTCTGCTCGCCTGAAAACTGTCACCGACACTTCGTATAGCAAGTACAGAATGCTGCTTGGATTGCATTGCCAGTGCTGCCAGAACATTTAGATTCAGAGGCTAAAGTTTAATCCGTGTCACATTAAATGTTCGGATGTTAATAACTAGGAGAACAAAACATGAGCTAATTATAAAACTAATTGCACATGAGTAAACTAATTAGCGAAATAAATCTATTAAGCATAATTAATCTATGATTAACAAATGTTTACCGTAGCACCGTATTGTTAAATTATGGACTAATTAGGCTTAATAAATTCGTCTCGCAACTTAGTCTCCATTTGTGCGATTAATTTTATAATTAGTCTATGTTTAATATTACAAATTAGTGTGAAACATCCTATATGACATAGACTAAGAGCATCTCCAAAAGACTCTCTATATCCTTCATAAACGTTAGGAATAGAGATTTTGGTGAAAAATTATTCTCCAACAGCTTTTTCTAAATGGTCATCTAAATATAGCCATCTTCGATTCCGGATTTTTCGTTAGCAAAAAATAGAAGACAAGAATGGCTCTCTAGAGTGTGCATGAGATATAGAAAATATGTTGGAGAGTGAAAAGATATAAAAAGTGATTTTTATGCAAATGACTCTTCAAATGATGATTTAGAGAGTGAGATTTACAAAGGCTCTTGAAGATCCTCTAAGCTTAAGGGAACAAACGCCCCCGCCAAGCCTAGACCTATGCTTGGAGCCTTGGAGTGACCAAGCGTGTGAGTTATAACAAAAATACGTCTGAGAAAAATACCTGAACATTCTCCATGCCTGCGGCCGCATGATTTGAAAAGGAACTAATGCTGTAATGCATGTAGGAACATGTTTGCAACTTTGCAATGGAGATTGGAGACTGTACTCCTCAAAGGCCTTTTGTCCTCGTTTTGCAATTGCACATCTTGTCAACCCCTCAAATTTCTCGCTGGTGTCAGAAAAGTACTTAAGGTTGATAATCCCACTTCAGAAAAGTTACATTTGACTTTCTTGTTCTATGGTTGCAAGTTTGAAGGATGTGCCGTTCTTGCTGCAGCTTAATTATCTTAGTGCCTTCCCCTCTTCTTCTTTAGTTGCTTGTTCCCTTCTCTTCTAGATTGTACCCTCATCAATGTTTCCCTCCATGTGCCTTCGAAAAAACGTTTCCCTCCATGCGCAGGTCCAAACAGTACGCAGTTCGGGGGATCCATGCGCGCCGAGCCGCCGAGGCAGCGGTTTCGCACGGCTTGCTACCCTCTCTCTCTCTCTCTCTCTGAGAAACTGCATGGCTTGCTACCTCCAAGGCTGGGATGGGCACAAGCGGCAGATCGCACATTCGCTTCATCCGACGCGATTCTCGTGCCGCGTCCCAAATCAAATTGCCAGCTCTCACATTTCAAAAAAAAAAAAACTAACTCTATCGCTGACGATTCCCACTTTCCCAGGCGCACGTTCCATAAAAACGTCACGGCACGGGGCCAGTGCAACGTTGAGCACGATCCGAGGCCGCACGATATTCGCGCCGGGCGCGCTCGGCTGGTTTGTTCATCCCGCGGTCACGGTCACGGTCACGGAGCTCGGAGCGCCCGACTCTGCGTCTCTGCCTGCGGTCTCCAAAGGGCAAAGGCCAACAACGGGCTGTTTGCCTGCTAGACGACCACGAGGGGTAAGAATCGGGTTCGTATAGAATTATTTACTATATTTTAGTTTAAATTTTAAATATAAATATACTATATACAAATACAAAACGGACATCTTAAATTTGGATTCACATTCAAATATGTAGTACACATATCTCTTTGCTTATTTGATAGTTTTAGTCAAATAAAATCATTACGCATGTAAAGATTTAAAATATATTATGACTATAAAACACATATAGATAACGATAACTCATAAAATAACTAAATGTATAAAAAATAATAAAACTATAGATAAATATTTATCAATAAGTAAATTTAAATGTATAAAATAATTTCATCAATACATGAATAACTAAAGTACTTAAAATTAATAAGATTATCCGTATTAAATTAAATAAATTTGACTTTTATACATCATTAATAATAATAAAACTAATATAATGTCATTAGTCATAGAAATAACCTTAAAGTTTAAACGATGCATATCATTTGTTATATTAAAATTTATATCATCTGTATTTCTAATTATACTTTGTTCCTCGCAGATATGGATAATGTCA